CACGCCTCGGCTGAGCTGAGCTGGAGCCGTGCTGCTCCCACCACAGCTCTGCAGCCCCCGGGGCTCCAGCCAGCACCCGGCTTCTCCTCTCCCTGCAGTCATGTTTCGCCTCTACGACACCGATGGGAACGGCCTCCTGGACAGCTCGGTAAGCCTCCCCTCGGGGGAGAACCTGGGGCTGCTCGGGGGGCCAGGGACAGGCAGGGGCCCCCCAGGGTGCCTGCTCCCCCAGCGAGGTGCTCCGAGGCAGACAGGGCTGTGGGAAGGGAGGAGGAAGGCAGCAGCATTTGCTGCAGAGCTACGCCAGCTCTGCAGCATCCAGCAGCAGCTAGAGAGAATCCACCCACCAGAAACTGTAGCTCTACGTCAGGTCGCCGTGTTTCAGACAAGGAAGAGTCATGCACGCACAGCCCGATGGATATTTTCTGTTTGTTCTTTGAGTATCTCCCTTGAAACCTGTTGCAAATAAAAATCTGTTTTATCAGACCAGTTTTTTTTCCAAGGGAAAACCCTCTGCCGATTTTCTGGGCAGATTTTCAGGTGAGGAAGCAGCACCCACCACAAAGTGAGGTGTCATTGGCCCCTGGGGCAGCCCTGGGTGTATTGGGACACAGGCTTGACGTGCCCCTGGTTGTGGGGTAGGAGGCTGGGCACCCTGCTCCTCCCCAAAGCCATCCCTCAGCACCGGGTGCCATCTCTCTGTGCCCAGGAGCTGGATCGTATCATCAACCAGATGGTGCACGTGGCCGAGTACCTGGAGTGGGACTCCACCGAGCTGAAGCCCGTGAGTGCCAGAGCTGGGGGGCAGCTGGGGGGGGCCACAGGGGCTCCTGCTCAGACCCAGGAGCTGAGGTTCACAGGAGGCGTTGCCACGTAGCCACATGTCCTCCCTCCTCCAGATCCTGAAGGCGATGATGGAGGAGATCGACTACGACCACGACGGGACGGTGACGCTGGAGGAGTGGATCCGGGGTGGCATGACCACCATCCCCTTGCTGGTCCTCCTGGGGATGGAGACAGTGAGTGCCTGCCCGGGGACCTGCTGCAGCTGCATCCAGCGGGGAGAGGAGGGTGGAGCTGGAGGCTGTGCAGGGACCACGGGAGGGCACCCTACCCCCGGCGATGTACCCAGCACCCGCCCTGCAGGGCCCCCCCTAGCCCCAGCTCTGCCCTCCCTGCAGACACTCCAACCCTGCCTCTGCTCTGACCAACCTCTGTCCCCTAAATCTTCACAAGCTCCATGTGGAGCTGTGGTTGTTGCCAGCTGCTGTGCCCAGGCGAGCTGGGCATGCTCCTTGGGATCGTAGCAAGCTCCAGTTTGAAGAATATTTAATAAAAAAATAAGGTGAGCACCTAAAATGCCAACTCCTTTCCTGAGGTAAGCTTCAAAAAGCAGAGGTATGGTTTGGGGGATGACCCCTTCTCCCCCCCTTATTTCCCTGTGTGGTTTTTTTCATCCTTTTGGGCTTCATTTTGTTGAGGTGCATCCCTGACCATAGGGTGATAGTCTGGAGATAAACCTGGGGTTTTGCTCCCCACTGCCCATTCTAGTGCTTACTTCTTGTGGAGAGGTGGTGGGGGCAGGGGCTGGCTTTCTGGCAGGAAGATTTTGAGAAAATGGGGAATTTTAAATGGCTCCTGCAAAGCACTCATGTCTGGACCCAGATGTAAGAGGCTTGTTTGGTCACTCCATGGTGGCCGTGGTGTGGTCCCAGATATGGAGTCACCTTCTCATCAGCCACTAGCAGACCATCCTTGCAGCCATGCTGTGCTGAGGGGCCGTGGGGAGCTGGAGCTCAGTGCCCAGGGCTGGACATGCCCAGGGAACAGGGGAATGTGGTGGCAGGGACGTTCAGGAGATCACCAAGGAAAAACAGAGCAGGGGGAGCCCGTGGTCCTGCTGCGACCCAACTCCCACAGATGCACTAAGGACTTTTATGGGACAGAAGGCTGACAAAAGTGTCTGGCTGAGAGGGTGGGGACCTCTGGTGAGGGAGTAACGCCCCTCACCCCCTGCTTTTCTGCCCTGCAGAACGTGAAGGATGATGGGCAGCATGCGTGGAGGCTGAAGCATTTCAGGAAACCTGCCTACTGCAACTTCTGCCGCACCATGCTGCTGGGGGTGCGCAAGCAGGGCCTCTGCTGCTCCTGTGAGTCCTGGCCTCCTACAGCTCCCCCTGCCCCCAGCTGGCACCTCCTGCCCTGTCCCAGTGCCCTGGGGAGGGAGGACTGGTCCCCATCAGCGCCGAGCCCTGGGGCTGCTGCAGGATGAGCGGGGAGGGCTCAACGCCTGTGCTGGGGAGCGGTGCTCACCACCTTCTTCTCTCCCACCAGTCTGCAAGTACACTGTCCACGAGAGGTGTGTGTCCAAGGATATCGCCTCCTGCATCAGCACCTATGTGAAATCCAAGAGGAACACGAGTGTGAGTAGGCAGCCAGCACGTTTCTGAGGTGGTGGGTCTCCTGTGGAGCCCTCTCAGGCAGCACCATTGGCCTCTCTGTCCCCTGCCCTTGTCCCTCGTGTTTTTTTCCCCCTGGGTTTTGCTCCTCGAGACCTGAGCAACAGCCCATGGGCATTCCCAGCATCCAGAGCCTGTCTCTCTGTCTTCTGCCCTTGTCCCTCGTGGTTTTTCCCCTGGGTTTTGCTCCTCGAGGCCTGAGCAACAGCTCATGGGCATTCCCAGCATCCAGAGCCTGGCAGAGCAGGCCCCATCCCCTGCCCCCGGGGACCTGCAAGACCCCTGGCCCTGAGGTCTGTCACGGTTCCAGATGGGGGATGAGTGTCCCCAGCGTGCTGCACGGAGCAGTAGCGAGGGAACGCAGCCACGCAAGGGGCTGGTTTGGGTCGGTCAGCATCTCTGCACAAGCCACCCTCCAAAATCACAGTGGCAGCTTTTAGCAGAGAGGAGATGCCCCCAGGTCGGCGGGTGCTGCACTCGCAGTGCCCCACCCCGTGCCTTGCAGGTGATGCAGCACACCTGGATCGAGGGCAATTCCCCCGTCAAGTGCGACAGATGCCACAAAAGCATCAAATGCTACCAGGGCATCACCGGTCTGCACTGCGTCTGGTGCCAAGTCACTGTGAGTACAGGGGCGTGGGGTTTGCCCTGCATGGCCACCCCTGTGTGAGCAGAGGCTCACGGGCAGCCCGGTGTCCCCTGCCTGACAGCCCTTCCTCCTCCAGCTCCACAACAAATGCGCCTCCCACGTGAAGCCGGAGTGTGACGGGGGCCCGCTGCGGGACCACATCTTGCTGCCCTCCTACATCCGCCCCGCTGTCCTGGTAAGTGCTGCCTCGTGGCGGCGCCGGGGCGGGGCGTGGGGCCAGCGGGCACCCCCCTGCCTCTGCTCCCCAAAGGACAGGCAGTCCCACTGCCGAAAATCGGAGACCGACTCCCCCGCCAGCACCGGCCCCGAGGACGACCAGAGCCTCAAGTTCAGCCCCACCACGGTGGACGGGCAAGGGCTGCAGGTGGGTTGCCACGCTGGTGAGTTGTGGTGGGGGCAGGTGCCGAGCCCTGCAGCAGCCAGGCACACGCAGCCACACTCTCTGCCCTCCAGATCAGCCCCCGGCCCGGGACGCACCCCCTCCTGGTGCTGGTGAACCCCAAGAGCGGAGGAAGGCAAGGGGAGCGGTAGGTAGGGTCCTGGCCATGGAGAGCATCCCCTTAGGGCTGGGAGCTGCTCATCCCTCGGGCTGCCCCAGCACCCCTCCTTTGAGGGGGGACTCGCCTCTGGGACATCCTTTGCCCTTCTCCTTCCCCAGGGTCCTGAGGAAATTTCACTACCTGCTCAACCCACGCCAAGTGTACAACCTGGACCGTGGCGGGCCTGCGCCGGGGTATGGAGACACCGTGGCCAGTCCTCTGCCTCCTCCTGCTGGCCCCTGCTCCCCGGCGTCACCCCTTGTCTCTCTGGGCTTTCTCCAGGCTGAGCTTCTTTCGGGACACTCCGGATTTCCGTGTCCTGGCCTGCGGGGGGGACGGCACCGTGGGCTGGATCCTGGACTGCATAGGTGAGGGAGGAGCATCTGTGCTGCCCTAGAGCATCCTCCCCCGTGTCCTGGGTGATCTGCCACTGGTTCCCCTGCCAACAGCATCGCCCTCAGGCTGCCAGCCAAAGGGGGACATGGAGAGGAGCAGGGAGCGAGCCCTTTAAGCCTCAAACCTCTCTTTCCCATTGAATTGCAGACAAGGCAAACTTGGTGAAACACCCACCGGTGGCTGTCCTGCCTCTGGGAACGGGCAACGACCTGGCCCGGTGCCTGCGCTGGGGAGGAGGTGAGGCTGGGCAAGCACTGCCTGGGGGTGGCTGGCCCGTGGGGACCATCTGACACAGCTTGGTGGGTGCTGTCCTGGGGGAGGGAAGGCCCCCGGGCTCCTGGGACAAGGTTTAGTGCTGCATCTCAGCACTGATGCTCGCTGATGGTGCCTCTAACCCCTTTCAAAAAAAGCTGCTGCTTTCTAAGCCCCCATCAACCATATCCTGCCTGAAGCCTTCCTCATCTGGGAGAGCTCTGCCATTACCTGAAATCTCTGCTGCTGCTGCTGCAAGGACAAGCTGGGCATCTCACTGGTGCCATAGCAGCAGCCCCAGGCTCCCCAGGTGCATGGCAGCCAAGTACCTCCACCTGACATGGTTGTGCTCCCCTTTGTCCTCCTCCATCCTCTGTTGCCCACCTCTCCCTTGCAGGCTACGAAGGAGGCAACCTGATGAAGGTCCTGAAAGACATTGAGCACAGCACAGAGGTGATGCTGGATCGTTGGCAGATAGAAGTCATTCCCAGTGACAAAGAGGCCAACGGAGACCCTGTCCCATCCACCATCATCAACAACTACTTCTCCATTGGTGTGGTGAGTGCTGCGGGGCAGGGGTGGGTCTTGAGCGCAGCCCGGGGTGCAGCACACACACGTTTTTTGGAGAGAGGGGTACAGTGCTGGGCTAGTAATCTGTGCCCAGACCAGCAAGGTGCCCTGCTCACCAGTGCTGCCTGGGCACAGAGAAGTGGAGGAAAGGACTCTCCTTCCCTGCTTTTTCTTGATCAAGTTCCCAACCTCCCTTCACCCGTGGGTGTTGTTTTTCTGCTTCTATTGTCATTTGTCACGACAGCACATAAATGCCTAAACAGGCATGGAATCTCTCTGTTCACAACTGGAAATGTTGAAAAACCTACTGTCTGAGGAGCTCGGGTGAAGTTCAGAGAAATTCAGGGTCTCGGGGGTGGGTTGAGATCTGCTGGACACAGCACCTGAAGCTTTTGCCAAGAGAGCACCAGAGCCCGAGGAGGATGGCAGCCACATGCCACAGGGGCTTTTTCCAGTACCAGGGGTCAATCCTGTGAGCAGCAGGGCTCTGGGGGAACAGCAAAGCTCCCGGGGAGCTTGCAGCATTTTTGCCTCGGGCCACAGGTCCTGAGCATGCCACCACGGCTGGGTCACCCACCCGGCAGCGCTGCAGAACGCTTCCAGTTTCACATCAGCTCCTACTAATGTCAGGAGATGTAACTGCAGGTGGCATGTGGTGACAGCTTCCCAGTCGGGCTCAAACGCTCCCCACCCTGCACAGGAGGGGCTGCAATGAGTTTTAGGAGAGCTGCCACCCTGCCAGGGGTGTCCCCAGAGCCCCACTGGCAGTCTTCCCCCAGCATCACCTCCATGCAGAGCCCCTGCGATGAAGGAAAGAGGCCAAGGGCACTAACTGTGTCTCACTTCATGAGCCCCCAGGCAATGGGGGCTGGCAGTGAGGGGGAAGAGCCGAGCCCCAGGACCCTGGCACGTGCTGATGGGGCACAGAGTGAGGTTTCTGTTTCCCTGCTGAGCCACCAACGTCCCTGTACCCCCTTTCCCCACAGGACGCCTCCATTGCCCACCGCTTCCACATCATGCGAGAAAAGCACCCTGAGAAATTCAACAGCAGGTAAGGGCTGTGCATGGTCCCCCCCAAAAGCTGGGTGCAGGGTGCACCCCCCCCGAGGGGATGTGCCAGGTCCTGCTCCCCTCCCGCCAGGCTCCTGAATGAATTATGTTCATTCATGCTTTATAATTAACACCGAATTCCAGGACCAGCAGGAGCAGGTCAGGCAGCGAGGGAGGGGCAGGCAGCAGGTCACAGCTCGCCCCTGCTGTGCTCGGGGTACATGGGAATGGTGTAACAGGGGCAGGAGCTGTGGCCTGCAATGCCCCCATCCCCATCCATCTGGCTCTGCTCCGAAATTCAGCTCCCCTCAGCTTACAGCTCCCCCTTGCACACTGGCACAGGGATTGCTGCAGGGCGTGAGCAGTGGTCAGGGGCTGCCTGGGAGGGTGCAAGGCAGGGTGGTGAGGTGGGGGACATCCTCTCTGTGGGATACCCCATCCCCAGCAGCCCCATCAGGAGGTGGCAGCCCATGCTTAGCTCTGCTGAGAGCCAGTGGAGGCACTCTGTCCCACGCTGAGGGGCCACCCAGCACCCACATCCTTCTCCTCTGCATGGTGTCAGGCCCAGGTCTGCCTGAGCCACCCCTTGTCCCACAGCACAGCTCCCTGGGGCCACGACACCCTCCTATGATGGCTCGTGTCCCCATTGCAAGGGCTTCAGAAAGGCTCTGGCAGCCCACCCTGCCACCGTCTGGGCTGGGGGTGGCCGGAGGGAGGTGCCACTGCTGAGTGGAGTGCCACTGCATCTCTGTGCCCCAGGATGAAGAACAAGCTGTGGTACTTTGAATTCGGTACCTCAGAGACCTTTGCGGCCACCTGCAAGAAGCTGCATGACTACGTGGAGGTGGAGGTGAGTGTCCAGGGGTGGTCCCTGGCTCCAGCCAAGGAGGCACAAAGGCTTTTTGGGAGCTGTCGCCCAGGGGTCCTGCGGGCAGAGCTTTTGGCTGTTTGGGGAGAGGGTGCCATGGCAACTCTGAGCCCTGTCAGTGGCAGGAGGATGCGGTTGGCTGGCAGGACCCACTCTTCCACCGCGTGGTGCTTGCTGCTAAGCCAGCCAGCTGCAGGCAGAAGAATGGTCCTGTATTTCTTCCCCCCTTTCCAGCTGTAGTTGAGAGCGTGCCTGGAATATTCTCTCTGTAAACTCCATGTCTGCTCCCAGCTCTCGTTAGATGAAATGGAAACAGCCTTTAATTAGAGTGAGGAGAAGGGCCCGTGGCTGCTAAGAGCACTGTCATTTCTTCACTCGTGCTGGGGGGTTTGGGCCATGCCCTGCTGCAGAATTCCACTTCTCCTTATCTCTGAATGACCCACTTATAACAGGCTTGAGGGACAAGGGAGAAAAAACATCCCTTGCTGCAAAGGGCTGGTGCAAGCTGGACCTGGCAGTGGGCACAGGGACACTAGTGGTGGGTGGAGAGCAGGCAGAGTGCAGGCAGAGCCTGGGGAGCTCATGCTGCAGTGTGAGGCTGTGGGCAGAGGGACTTGGAAGCCGGTTTCTAAGCATGGATTTTCAGCCTTCCCAAAGGGGCTGGCTGTGCCCTCGGCAGCTGGTGGGAAGGAGCAGGGGCATGGCCATGGCCATCTTCACCCCCTTCCCTGGCTGGGCACCAGCATCTGTGTCTTTGAGGCTCGATGCTGCCAGAGATGGGCACGAGGTGCCTCTTGCTCCTCACGAGGTGCCCCCGTGTGCCGCCTGCGTGCTCCCCACCAAGCGTGCGCTGGCACTGCTTGTGCCACACCGGCAAGGAAGCGTTAATCCCACAGTATTTGAAGTTGAAAGTGGCAGCCTGTCCCCCCTCCGGCTCCCAGGCAACTGTCAGTCTGCAGAGAAATGGCAGTTTTGTTTTGGAAATTGGCACTCGTTCCCCTGCAGCTCCTGGAAATGAATTTGCTTTTTCCCCAGCTGCAAATTTCTACTTCCAGCGTCGCTGCCAGCGCGCCGTCAGCTGGCCCTGCTCAAAGAGTCCATTGTAGCTCCCTGGCACACTAACAGGGGAGGACTATGCAGGGAGAAATCGCTCCCTGCAGGAGTGTGTGTGGGCAAGTGTGAGCAGCCACGGTCCTGCCTGCCCCTGGGCAGGAGTGGGCTCCTGCAGCCCGGGGAGCCCCGGCCCGCTGCGCCTGGGTCAGTGCCCGCCCTCGGGGATGATGCGTGGCTCAGCCGGGCACTGGGGGTGTGATTCCTTCCATCCTGCAAAGAACCAGGAGCCCTTTCACTCTCTATTTGCTACATTAGGGTCTTTTCTCTTCCTGCAAATCATGTAGTTCAAATGTATTGAAGAACAAGGGGTTTACATCCTGCACAAGGCTCAGAGGCAGCTCTTCCCTCCCCAGCCAGGAGACTCCTGCCTTTAGCTTTCAACGTGAGCCTAAAAATAAGATACCAGAGCACTGGGGGAGGCAGAACAGATCTGAACATCCAGAGACGTTTGCTCATGTGTGCACCCAGCTCCACATACGTGTGGCTGGCATGCTCAGTGCTTACCAACAGCGTGTTAAAAATGAGCTCGAGACTTTCACTCTTTGCTAGAGGAAAACAACCAGAGCCAAGGCAGCAGTGGGGGTTCATCAGCCCGTTCACATTCCTCTCAGCAAAGCAAAAAGAGGGCAGAAATGCTGTCGCATCACCAAAATGCAAGGCAAAAAAATGTGCTGGTATTTGCTGAAGTGTAGCGTGGCAGGTAGAGAGCAGATGCATAAAGGAAAATAGAAATGCTGTAGAGAGAATGCAGTTGAATGGGAAAGCAGCTGCTTCCTCCAGAGGTATCTAGAAAAGGGGGATGCCATCTGGGTTGTGTGAGAAGCCTTGAAGTTAAGAAATGCATTTCCATGGCTGCTGCTTCCAGTCCTGTGGATATTTTGCATTTTACAGGGAATTTTCAGCTGGGGTATTCCTGCCATATGACAGTGAAGCCCAGGATACCAGTTCTCTGTGCTGTTTTGTAGTTTTCTCTCCAAAAACTGACATTTTTCCCCTCTCACACCTTTCCTATAATTTTCTTCCTGCTTTGTTTCTAGTTTCCAAGTTGCACTTGAAGACAAACTGGTTCGAGTTATTTTTTGGGCAGCCAACTTTCTGACTCTTTGGAGTCAGTTGGAAGAAGGAGAGATGGGGCAGCATGTGCTGGAGATGATGGGATGGAGGTTGCCCCAGGGCTGAAGTGGTGTTGCCTCCTATTTTGGGTTACAACACCGAGCCTGAGGTTGAAGTTTTATGTCGTCTCATAGGAATTTGCTTTTCAAAACTGCCATCTCAGACACGTAGTAAGATCCATATCAAACCAGAGAGAAAAGCAGCACAAGGGGAGGGGGTGGTTGTTAGCCCCAGGAAAGCAAAGCCAGGGGGGGATTTGTTTGCACCTCCAGCAATAGCCACCCTGGGGCAAGTTTGCTCTGGGGGATTGTCCAGCAACACGCCGTGCCCAAGGAGCCCCCCTCCTTCAGTGGGCAGGCAAGGACTGGGCACCGGGCACCTGCCCCCACAGCCTGATGCCACCTGTGTGCCCGGCAGTGCGACGGGACCCTGCTGGACCTGAGCCACGCCTCCCTGGAGGGCATCGCCGTCCTCAACATCCCCAGCATGTACGGCGGCTCCAACCTCTGGGGGGAGACCAAGAAGCAGCGTGGCTACAGCCGGCTGGGCAAGAAAGCCCCGGAGAAGCTGCATGCCACGGTGGTCACCGACGCCAGGGAGCTCAAGTTCTGCGTGCAGGGTGAGTGGCAGAGCCTGGCAGGCAGCTGGGGGGGTGCGGGGCTGGCACGGGGGGCTGGG